CAGGACTGAAATATCAACCAGCATCTCAGGACTGAAATATCAACCAGCATCTCAGGACTGAAATATCAACCAGCATCTCAGGACTGAAATATCAACCAGCATCTCAGGACTGAAATATCAACCAGCATCTCAGGACTGAAACATCAACCACCACATAAGGACTGAAACATCAACCACCACATAAGGACTGAAACATCAACCACCATATAAGGACTGAAACATCAACCACCAGAAAAGGACTGAAACATCAACCACCATATAAGGACTGAAACATCAACCACCACATAAGGACTGAAACATCAACCACCATATAAGGACTTAAACATCAACCACCAGATAAGGACTTAAACATCAACCACCATATAAGGACTTAAACATCAACCACCAGATAAGGACTTAAACATCAACCACCACATAAGGACTGAAATATCAACCACCACATAAGGACTGAAACATCAACCACCATATAAGGACTGAAACAACAACCACCATATAAGGACTTAAACATCAACCACCATATAAGGACTTAAACATCAACCACCAGATAAGGACTTAAACATCAACCACCATATAAGGACTGAAATATCAACCACCAGATCAGGACTGAAACATCAACCACCATATAAGGACTTTAACATCAACCACCAGATCAGGACTGAAACATAAACCACCATATAGGGTCTTAAACATCAACCACCAGATAAGGACTTAAACATCAACCACCATATAAGGACTTAAACATCAACCACCAGATCAGGACTGAAACATAAACCACCATATAAAGACTGAATCATCAACCACCATATAAGGACTGAAACATCAACCACCACATAAGGACTGAAACATCGACCACCACATAAGGACTGAAACATCAACCACCACATAAGGACTGAAACATCAACCACCACATAAGGACTGAAACATCAACCACCAGATAAGGACTGAAACATCAACCACCATATAAGGACTGAAACATCAACCACCACATAAGGACTGAAACATCAACCACCACATAAGGACTGAAACATCAACCACCACATAAGGACTGAAACATCAACCAGCATCTCAGGACTGAAACATCAACCACCAGATAAGGACTTAAACATCAACCAGCATATAAGGACTTAAACATCAACCAGCATATAAGGACTTAAACATCAACCACCAGATCAGGACTGAAACATAAACCATCATATAAGGACTGAAACATCAACCACCACATAAGGACTGAAACATCAACCACCACATAAGGACTGAAACATCAACCAGCATCTCAGGACTGAAACATCAACCACCAGATAAGGACTTAAACATCAACCAGCATATAAGGACTTAAACATCAACCAGCATATAAGGACTTAAACATCAACCACCACATAAGGACTGAAACATCAACCACCACATAAGGACTGAAACATCAACCAGCATCTCAGGACTGAAACATCAACCACCAGATAAGGACTTAAACATCAACCAGCATATAAGGACTTAAACATCAACCACCAGATAAGGACTTAAACATCAACCAGCATATAAGGACTTAAACATCAACCAGCATATAAGGACTTAAACATCAACCACCACATAAGGACTGAAACATCAACCAACAGATCAGGACTGAAACATCAACCAGCATATAAGGACTGAAACATCAACCACCACATAAGGACTGAAACATCAACCACCAGATAAGGACTGAAACATTGACCACCACATAAGGACTGAAACATCAACCAACAGATAAGGACTGAAACATCAACCAGCATATAAGGACTGAAACATCAACCACCACATAAGGACTGAAACATCAACCAACAGATCAGGACTGAAACATCAACCAGCATATAAGGACTGAAACATCAACCACCACATAAGGACTGAAACATCAACCACCAGATAAGGACTGAAACATCAACCATCATCTCAGGACTGAAACATCAATGAAAAATTCCTAACTACATTAATATCAATGGCTTACTTTACCTACTCAAGAGTATCTTAAACAAGAAGCTTTTAAGCTTCCAGTCCAAAATATAGATGAAAACATACACCGAAGTGTGGGTGCCTTATCCAACACGATGACGTAGACTCCTAGCAGCAGTGGATGTATGGAGCTTAATGGAGGGTGTCATGTATCACTGCATTAAAAGCTCTATACCCAAGTGGCTCAAGGCAATTTGAAAGGAGTAAGAAAGTTTTACAATATTAGGCTCATACACTGCTTAAATGGCAAGAACAAAGAAAGATGATTATCTAAAAAAAAAATAAGACAATTTTTATACAAAAAGTAATTTCTAAGATAGCAAACATGATGATGAACTGAACTAGGATATACAACTTGAAAGGTTGTTTTTTCACCAGTGAACAATGAAGAGGCTTGAAGTAAACAAACAACCAATTAATCACCAAGGGAACGTGCATCACAAAATATTTAAGAAGTCAACATAATGTGGAATTTGAGATTCAAATGTTTGAAGGATTGGGTCTTTTCAGAGCATTACCATTTGCAGGAGCTCGACGCCTACCATTAACTTCCCAACAAAGCAGTGTTATTTATAGTCATAGCTAAATTATATAGAAATTTTCCAAGCATGATATATCCCCAAACAAGCCAATAAAACAAACAAGAGAATACCACAGAGGTAAGGCTGATACCGGTCTAGAAAAATGGAAAATGCCTCTGCAAGTTGTGTGACGCCATTCAAACTTGGCCATTGATTCCGCCACAATCTTGTGAACATAAATTGTTACATCTTGCTGTACATCGACTTGAAACTGATAATGTAGATGTTAAAGTATGGTATTTGTTTTTTCTGCATGACGCTCCACATTAGGATAAAGGGACTGGTCAGATCGGAGTCAGTATACTGTGTCTGAGTGGGGTATCCATGTTAAACTTCGGTGTGGAATCTCAGTGAAGTAGCACCATAAAACCAGCCTAAGTCTACAAATATATTCAATACAGCCTATGCAAGTCTATAAAGTTTGGCAAATCTAGATTACTGCAGTATCAGCATCAGAAAATGAAGAGAGTCTCTGTGCTCCTTTTTATTACCTTTGATAAAGATAACTTATCAACTGTTTTTTCCGTAAGATATGTTCATTTCAGAAACTAGATGTGAAATAATCTTGAAAAACAACATTTAACCATTCTACCTCAAAGATTTGACATTCAAGAGCAGATATTTTACAGGTGTTTCAAACAATATACTCAACCAAGGTTTCAACTTCCAAACTGACTTATTAGTAATGTGTGTGTGCGAGTTGGGTTTAACGCCGCTTTTAACAGTATTCCAGTTATATCGCGGCGTGTCAGCTTAATGTGGGAGGAAAGCCTGAAGTGATGTAGGTCTCAGACGTTTATCACTTCAGTGAAACCCACAAGCACGGGTATGGTCCTGACAAACCTAGAAACATAATCGGGGTGAACCGGGATTTGAACCCACAATCATAGGTTTCTGGCATGCTCCAAGGGACGCAACTCTGCACAGCGAATCACTGTGCCACCCGTGCCCCCTATTAGTAATGTAACTAAGGTTAAAGGTCACACCCTCCAGGGCTGATGTCATATCCGCAATTTTGTACCTATTAATATAGGAACATCTCAGCCAAGCATGTTTCACCTGCAGTACACTTTCAGTTTATGTACCATCGAACTGATATTGTGAAACACAAAGGGAGAGTGTTTACTGCTGCACACAGGTTAGGACGAGTTACCATGGTAACAGATCAAATAAACCAAATTCATAACCCAGAAAGAAACAAAATGGTCACACTGTCAAATGGCAACACGACATTGTCAAATGGTAACACAACATTGTCAAATGGTAACACAACATTGTTGGTTTGGTTGGTTTGTTGTTTAATGCCGCACTCAGCAATATTCCAGCTATATGACGACTGTGTGTAAATAATGGAGTCTGGACTAGACAATCCAGTGATTAATATCATGAGCATTTATCCATGCAATTGGGATTGATGACATACATCAACCAAGTCAGTGAGCACAACACTGTCAAATGGTAACAAGACATTGTCAAACGGTAACACAACATTGTCAAACGGTAACCTGATATTGTCAAATGGTAACACAACATTGTCAAACAGTAACAACATTGTCAAACAGTAACATGACATTGTCAAATGGTAACACATTGTCAAATGGTAAAATGACATTGTCAAATGGTAACCTGATATTGTCAAACGGTAACACGATATTGTCAAGTGATATCGACCAAAACAGCTTTGTGTTGTGTGTTAGTTACATTAGTTATCCTGCAAAAGAAAAACAAACAGCTCACTTTAAAAACTTTATGCCAACTGTGAACAAAACCTGGACAACGAGTAACCAGCATCTAGTGTAGTGGGGAAGGCAGGGTGGGGAATCATGGCCGGCAGTAGATAAGTGAGGCTTGATGAGGCAAACTAGTGGTTTTAGTCTCAGTAATGATCCACACAAACAACCAGGCCACTATGGTAATCTCCCAAACAGGGGTAAGTTGGTTTCATTGTCACATGAAGCATAGGGTGATAGGAACCTTTTCTGCCTCAGAATCCCAAAGACAGACAAGCATGAGGTACTGGGGATCTTTTCTAACTCAGAATCCCAAAGAGGGACAAGCATGAGGTACTGAGGATCTATTCTGCCTCAGAATCCCAAAGATGGACAAGCATGGGGTACTGTACATATATTTTGCCTCTGAATTCCAAAGAGAGACAAGCATGGGGCACTGGGGATCTATTCTGCCTCAGAATCCCAAAGCGGCACAATCATGGGGTACTGGGGATCTATTCTGCATCAGAATCCCAAAGAAAGACAAGAAAGGAGTACTGGGTATCCATTCTGCCTCAGAATCCCAAAAGGGGCACAATCATGGGGTACTGGGGATCTATTCTGCCCCAGAAACAAGCATGGTGTTACAGGGACATATACAGCCTTGGATTCCCCATAGGGTTCTTTGGTTATTGATTTGGTCCAATAAACTCTGACTACAACTTACTGCTTTGGAGCTGTCAGCTGCAAGTCGGGCGGCGTAGCGGGCAATCAGTCGATGTTCGTCATCTATCCGAAATGAGTCTGTACTTGCATTGTGTTTACTTGGGCTGTGGAACAAACCAGATACAAGTGAAGACAACAGAAAGATCTGATGAATGTCTGTTCAATTAACAAGTTTTAGAAAAAGGCCTTTTAAAAGGGCAATGAAAAAAGTTTAGTAAAGACAACAAACTCCACGGAAGTCAGCCAGGCCTTGATCACCAGCTGTGTGATCAGACAAGCAACAACTCAATGAAGTCGTCCTAAAATCCCTCCCTCCTTGTGTCTCAACACTGAGCCTGGTTGTCTCCCCTAGTCAGCTGAGTGTGAGTGAGTATGATTTTACGCCACTTTAAGCAATATTCCAGCAATATCACGGCGGGGGACACCAGAAATGGGCTTCACACATTTTACCCATGTCGGGATTCAAACCCGGTTCTTCGACGTGACGAGCGAACGCTTTAACCACGAGGCTACCCGACCGCCCCCCTAGTCAGTTGAATGTCACTGAGAGATGTATTCACGTTTCCAGACAATTACAAAGCGGTCTGTCCATTGATGTTAGCGGAATACTAAGCCAGGGGTCCAGTGGGACACTGGCTACATCTTCAGGGGAATCCCTGGCTCAAACAGACAGCTCTCCCCAGGAGCCAACAGCAGACTTCTGAGAGATTTTCAAATTATCTTTGTATCAAAGTTTTCAGTTATTCAGATTTTAATTGTGACGTTTTTGATTTCCTAAATTTAATCTTAAAAGTCGATTAACAGAATGCAAAGGAAACATTGCTAAAAATCATTGCTAGCATCTCAAAAACAACAACAAACATCCTGTGGTTAAATGGGCATCGGCTGTGCAATGTGGGATCCATGTTGTCCTTCCACCTGATGCTTCTGTTAGTCAGGTCACAGTATTGGGGACCTACTGCCACAGGGAGACAAGCATGAGGTACTGGGGACCTACTGCCACAGGGAGACAAGCATGAGGTACTGGGGACATATCGCCACAGGGAGACAAGCATGAGGTACTGGGGACATATCGCCACAGGGAGACAAGCATGAGGTACTGGGGACATATCGCCACAGGGAGACAAGCATGAGGTACTGGGGACCTATTGCCACAGGGAGACAAGCATGAGGTACTGGGGACCTAATGCCACAGGGAGACAAGCATGAGGTACTGGGGACCTACTGCCACAGGGAGACAAGCATGAGGTACTGGGGACCTACTGCCACAGGGAGACAAGCATGAGGTACTGGGGACCTATTGGCACAGGGAGACAAGCATGAGGTACTGGGGACCTATTGCCACAGGGAGACAAGCATGAGGTACTGGGGACCTACTGCCACAGGGAGACAAGCATGAGGTACTGGGGACCTATTGCCACAGGAGAACAAACATGAGGTACTGGGGACCTATTGCCACAGGAGAACAAACATGAGGTCCTAGGGACCTACTGCCACAGGGAGACAAGCATGAGGTACTGGGGACCTACTGCCACAGGGAGACAAGCATGAGGTACTGGGGACCTATTGCCACAGGGAGACAAGCATGAGGTACTGGGGACCTATTGCCACAGGGAGACAAGCATGAGGTACTGGGGACCTACTGCCACAGGGAGACAAGCATGAGGTACTGGGGACCTATTGCCACAGGGAGACAAGCATGAGGTACTGGGGACCTACTGCCACAGGGAGACAAGCATGAGGTACTGGGGATCCTACTGCCACAGGGAGACAAGCATGAGGTACTGGGGACCTACTGCCACAGGGAGACAAGCATGAGGTACTGGGGACCAACTGCCACAGGGAGACAAGCATGAGGTACTGGGGACCTATTCCACAGGGAGACAAGCATGAGGTACTGGGGACCTACTGCCACAGGGAGACAAGCATGAGGTACTGGGGACCTACTGCCACAGGGAGACAAGCATGAGGTACTGGGGACCAACTGCCACAGGGAGACAAGCATGAGGTACTAGGGACCTATTGCCACAGGAGAACAAACATGAGGTATTAGGGACCTACTGCCACAGGAGAACAAACATGAGGTACTAGGGACCTATTGCTACAGGGAGACAAGCATGAGGTACTGGGGACCTATTGCCACAGGGAGACAAGCATGAGGTACTGGGGACCTAATGCCACAGGGAGACAAGCATGAGGTACTGGGGACCTATTCCACAGGGAGACAAGCATGAGGTACTGGGGACCTAGTGCCACAGGGAGACAAGCATGAGGTACTGGGGACCTAGTGCCACAGGGAGACAAGCATGAGGTACTGGGGACCTACTGCCACAGGGAGACAAGCATGAGGTACTGGGGACCTATTCCCACCGGGAGACAAGCATGAGGTTCTAGGGACCTATTGCCACAGGAGAACAAGCATGAGGTACTGGGGACCTACTGCCACAGGGAGACAAGCATGAGGTACTAGGGACCTATTGCCACAGGAGAACAAACATGAGGTACTGGGGACCTATTGCCACAGGGAGATTAGCATGAGGTACTAGGGACCTATTGCCACAGGAGAACAAGCATGAGGTACTGGGGACCTATTCCACAGGGAGACAAGCATGAGGTACTAGGGACCTACTGCCACAGGGAGACAAGCATGAGGTACTGGGGACCAACTGCCACAGGGAGACAAGCATGAGGTACTGGGGACCTACTGCAACAGGGAGACAAGCATGGGGTACTAGGGACCTATTGCCACAGGGAGACAAGCATGAGGTACTGGGGACCAACTGCAACAGGGAGACAAGCATGAGGTACTGGGGACCTACTGCCACAGGGAGACAAGCATGAGGTACTGGGGACCTATTGCCACAGGGAGACAAGCATGAGGGAATAGGGACCTATTGCCACAGGGAGACAAGCATGAGGTACTGGGGACCTATTGCCACAGGGAGACAAGCATGAGGTACTGGGGACCTACTGCCACAGGGAGACAAGCATGAGGTACTGGGGACCTACTGCCACAGGGAGACAAGCATGAGGTACTGGGGACCTACTGCCACAGGGAGACAAGCATGAGGTACTGGGGACCTACTGCCACAGGGAGACAAGCATGAGGTACTGGGGACCAACTGCCACAGGGAGACAAGCATGAGGTACTGGGGACCTACTGCCACAGGAGAACAAGCATGAGGTACTGGGGACCTACTGCCACAGGGAGACAAGCATGAGGTACTGGGGACCTACTGCCACAGGGAGACAAGCATGAGGTACTAGGGACCTATTGCCACAGGAGAACAAACATGAGGTACTGGGGACCTACTGCAACAGGGAGACAAGCATGAGGTACTGGGGACCTATTGCCACAGGGAGACAAGCATGAGGTACTAGGGACCTATTGCCACAGGAGAACAAACATGAGGTACTGGGGACCTACTGCAACAGGGAGACAAGCATGAGGTACTGGGGACCTATTCCACAGGGAGACAAGCATGAGGTACTGGGGACCTATTCCACAGGGAGACAAGCATGGGGTACTGGGGACCTATTGCAACAGGAGAACAAACATGAGGTACTGGGGACCTACTGCCACAGGGAGACAAGCATGAGGTACTGGGGACCTATTCCACAGGGAGACAAGCATGAGGTACTGGGGACCTATTCCACAGGGAGACAAGCATGGGGTACTGGGGACCTATTGCAACAGGAGAACAAACATGAGGTACTGGGGACCTATCGCCACAGGGAGACAAGCATGAGGTACTAGGGATCTACTCGGCCTAAAAATACCCAAGGGAGACAACCATACCCACTGGGAATGTCCAAATTAGTGCAACTCTCAATGCAATCTCTATGTCCTGTTCTCCTATTGTCTAGTGTATCATATCTCCGTATATATACTCTGAACCCATCTGTTACCATTGCTTTAATTTGAACCAAATTTGAACATAATTTTAAAGACATAACTCAAGAACTAGCCGTCCAAAAAAATAACACTCTGACTAAGTGATGTAAGAAATGGTGAGTGCAGATATGATATGCAATATGACAAAAGTGCAGGGTGCTCCATCAGGATGCCACCCCCTGCTGCACAAGCATGAACTGACATAGTGGTCGCGTGCTGCACAACATTCCGTAGCTGTCACTCACCTCCTAGGGGCGGAGCTACTGTCAAGGGAAGACACATCCCCTGATGTTATAATAGGGTGATCAGGGAATCCATTGTGAACAGGTATAGGTGTTGGTGGACTGAAAAACCAACAACAAAAATTTCAACAAAAATCAGAATATTGTGAAACCCGGGTAATACTTGTAGATCAACATGCACTGTGTGAGTGATCATGCACTGTATTTACTGATGTGTGGAACAGAACCCTGGCATTCAGTGTGATGGTCGGTGCACTATCTACTGACTGAACTTATATCTGAAGATGGACAAGTAAAAACATGCAGTGCAGACTGATGGTCGTACTCCTTCCTCAAATGTGTAGTTCAGGTGGGGGAATAATTAAAATATATCCCACTTCAGAATCTCAATCAGCACAATACCAACTGTTTCCAAAAATTCTTCCCGACTAAAACAATAAACATATGAAACTTACACAATGTATGACACTAACACAACATATGAAACTTAAACAATGTATGAAACTTACAATGCATGAAACTTAAACACAACACAATGTAAGAAATTTACACAGCATATGAAACCTACATGTATGAAACTGACACAATGTACGAAAATAACACAGTGTATGAAACCTACAACATGTATGAAACTTACACTATGTATGAAACTTACACTGTGTATGAAAATTACACAGTGTATGAAACTAACACAACATATGAAACCTACATGTATGAACCTGACACAATGTATTAAACTAACACAATGTATGAAACTAACAGAATGTATGAAACTTATACACAATGTATGAAATTTACACAGTGTATGAAACTAACACAACTTGTGAAACTTACACAGTGTATGAAACCTACAACATATATGAAACTTTCACTATGTATGAAACTTACACAGTGTGTGAAACTTACACAGTGTATGAAAATAACACAACATATGAAACTTACACAGCATATGAAACCTACATGTATGAAACTTACACTATGTATGAAACTTACACAATGTATGAAACTTACACAATGTATGAAACTTACACTATGTATGAAACTTACAGTGTATGAAACTAACACAACATATGAAACTTACACAGTGTATGAAACCTACATGTATGAAACTGACACAATGTACGAAAATAACACAATGTATGAAACTAACAGAATGTATGAAACTTACACAACGTATGAAACTTACACAGTGTATGAAACCTACATGTATGAAACTTACACTATGTATGAAACCTACACAGTGTATGAAACTTACAATGTATGAAACTTACACAATGTATGAAACTTACAAAGCATATGAAACCTACATGTATGAAACTTACACTATGTATGAAACTTACACAGTGTATGAAACTAACACAACATATGAAACTTACACAGTGTATGAAACCTACATGTATGAAACTTACACTATGTATGAAACTTACAGTGTATGAAACTAACACAACATATGAAACTTACACAGTGTATGAAACCTACATGTATGAAACTTACACTATGTATGAAACTTACACAGTGTATGAAACTAACACAACATATGAAACTTACACAGTGTATGAAACCTACATGTATAAAACTTACACAGTGTATGAAACTTACACAATGTACAAAATTTACAATGTATGAAACTGACACAATGTATGAAACCTACACAATTCAATGTAAGAAAGTAACAAAGCGTATGAAACTCACACAATGTATGAAAGATCAATGGTTTTCTCGGGTGCATCTGGGAAGTGTGGCATTTTCTGAGTGGATTTGACCGGCGTACATTGGAAGGACTTCCGTATAGAGTGACCGATCTGTTTGGCTTGGGATTTCTGCAATGGCAATCCTCAAGTTAGTCACCTTCATTTTCTATTTACTACTAATTTTTACTTTATTTCACAATCATCAGAAGGCATGGTTTCAAATATTATATATTATTATCAACTTTTTAAACCAACTGCCATTTCCCTGCAAATGACTTCTCTTAAGACAATATCTTAAGCATGATCATACACACAATTTTCTCAATTACTGTCATTAATTAAACCATTAATTTCATTTCACTGACTTTCATTCTTTGATGCTGGAATACTTAATTCCAGCTTTTCCATACAAGGCCAGTCGAAATTAAAATGAAAATAAGTAGCTATGTCAATAATTTATTTATTTATTCATATGATAGTCTTTCTGCCATGGAGTTAAAACTGCCGCTGGCTTCCTGATTAACCTGAATCACCAATAGTGATGTAGACATGGAATATATTGTATATATATATAACATTTTTAATGTATAAGAGTGTCCATATAACCAGTGGGAGACATAAATAAATAAATACTTTTATGTTTAACATATATCTTGGACCGGCTGCTGACATGAAAAATAAAAAATGTGCGGCTTAAAAAATGTTAGTGAGTGAATGCTGTTTTAAACTTCAGTCAGCAATATTCCAGCTATATCACGGTGGTCTGTAAATAGTCGAGTCTGGACCAGACAATCCAGTGATTGACATCATGAGCATCGATCCACGCAATTGGGACCGATGACATGCATCAACCAAGTCAGCGAGCCTGACCACCCGATCCCGTTAGTCGCCTCTTACGACAAGCATAGTTGCCTCTTACAACAAGCATAGTCAAAACCAGTGATTGATGGCAAGGGCATCACGCAGGACACGATGACATGTGGTCACACTTCGTGTATACCTGATCATCACAAGTTGGTTCTTATAACAAGCATTGGTTGCTAGGAGCCTAGCATACCCTGGAATATCTTTGGGGCAACCTTTCTCATAATAAAGTCTATCACATTAAAAACTGCGACACTGATATTTGTAAAGGAAGAATGCCTTACATATGTGGTGTATTCTTTCATTTCGTGTTCAATGCGGTGGTTGGCGGAGGTGCGGCCCCTCCAGAAGCAATCCTGACAGAGGTGGTAGTTGAAACATCGCTGGCACTTGTAGCGGAACCCGGTGAACGACTCACGGTGACAGCCCTCGCACTGAACAGGATGAAGCACTGAAACAGATCATGTCGTCGTGAGGAAGAGAACACATTGTCATGGTAACGGACAGAGCAAACAAAACTGATGAAAGGCATCCCTCTGTTACGTCATGTCTGACGTGCCACTGATTTGTCATTCTGATTATCTTCACGGTTGATTGATTGTTTGTTGTTTAACACCGCACTCAGCAATATTCAAGCTGTATGACGGCGGTCTGTAAATAATAGAGTCTGGACCAGACAATCTAGTGATTAATATCATGAGCATCGATCCATGCAATTGGGATCGATGACATGCATCAACCAAGTCAGCGAGCCTGACCATCCGATCCTGTTAGTCGCCTCTTACGACAAGCATAGTCGCCTTTTACAGCAAGCACCTATTCTACCCCAGATCTTCATGGGTCTTATCTTCACAAAGGAGAACATTATCAGTTTATTTCCATTATGCAAGAAGCATTATACCGGACACCTTCCGCCATTTTGGTAAGGTATGTGCACAAGCTCATTCCTTGCTAACGATTTCTATGTTTTTCATACACCATTTTTATCACCCCGCTAAAGTAACAGGGGGTTTGGGGGGGCTTGACCCCCACTCACGAGCTTGAATTAAATGCTTTCGTAAGTAAATGAAATGCTTAATTACCAAAGCAGATACAAAATACGTGTTTGCAGAAATGTGGCTCTGATGGTTGTCACTGATGAAGTTGTTGCAAGCCAAACCGTGCCAATGCAAGCAGGGTCATTGTTTTCTGCTTACTTTTGAGCTTTATTGCACTATTTCTTAAATAGTGATGCTGTCGCGTGCAGCTTTATATTGGCATCAAACAAACATGGCAGAGTGTCCATTAGGTGTCCTGTATAATGCATGTGTACCTTTCCATTAGGGCTGGGACGAAGACCAAATTTACTACCCGGGTATCCACCCTCCTATTACCCGACCCTACCCGGGTACCGACTGTAGGCCTCAAGAGATAGGTACAAAATGTCCGATTGGGAATTTTTTAGATTCACATATTTAACAATCTGGTCATGCATACACTGAAGCCTGACCACCCGATCATGTTAGTCGCCTCTTACGACAAGCACAGTCGTCTTTTACGGCAAGCAAGGGTTGCTGAAGACTTATTCTACCCCTGATCTTCAAGGGTAGTGTGCTATGTAGGGTGTTCCTACCATTCTCCACGTGGGCCATCCTGTTGAGTACTGGGAGCCACATCAGACACTGGGGGCCTGGGTCACACATCAGGACATTCAGGAAGTCGTTGACGCTCACTCGACTAGTCTGTAACATAAACATTGCCAGATATAACATACACTGTAATAACTTGTTAAGAAACAAGCTATCTCATTGGCTAATTGCTCGTAAAAACCCATACGTGTCAGCTGACTGGCCTGTACAGTATCGTGGCATTATGTTTGATGTGACGCCACTTGAACTCGGCTGTTCTGTCACACAAATATAGCCATATATAAATAGTGATACAGCTGGTCTATAAAACCAACAATAACAGATATATAAAGATTATTTATTATACGAGCATGTGTGTCATTCTGGTTTTACAAAACGAGTGTCAGAATTCTTGTATTTCCCGAGCAATAGTGAGAGTATTCATGAATTCTTACACGAGTTTAAAAAAATCAGTATGACACACATGTGAGTGTGAGTGAGCGAGCGAGTGAGTGAGTGAGTGAGTGAGTGAGTGAGTGAGTGAGTTGGGTTTAACGCCGCTTTTGAACAGTATTCCAGTTATATCGCAGCGTGTCAGCTTAATGTGGGAGGAAAGCACGAAGTGATGCAGGTCTCAGACGTTTACCACTTCGGTGAAACCCACGAGCACGGGTATGTTGCTGACAAACCTAGAAACATAATCGGGGCGAACGGGGATTCGAACCCACAATCATAGGTTTCTGGCGTGCCCAAGGGACGCCACTCTGCACAACGAATCGCGACGCCTTAGACAACTGGGCCACCCGTGCCCCCACATGTGAGTGTAATTATTTCTTCATTACCAATCATTACTAAATCCTTTGGAACTCCCCTTTACAAAAAAGCTCTTATCACCACTGGTGTCCGAGGAAACAACAACCTGTCTAATGACGTCAACAATCTTCATCTACGACTGTTTCTAGTGTGACGTCATTCTGTCCTTACATCACAATGCAATTCGAATGACGTCAAAAATGACGGACACAAGGCACTGGTGCGCAGGAAGTGATATTTGCACAAGTGCACATATGTTTTGTTATTTCTAACACTGTGGAAAGTTACTACCCAGGAAACCACCCGCCTATTACCCGACACTACCCAGGTACCCGCTGTAGGTCTCGAGAGATATAATAGTTTTACCGTATCCCAGGACAAAATGTATTTAGAGACACGTATAAAACGATCTGGTCACGCATACACTAAAGTTGATTAAAGTTTCATCTTTATTCAAACATATAAAAGAATGGGTGCATAGTCAGAAAGAAATGCGAACATTAGTGACTTGTAGTGTAACCACATATTTCTAGATCAATTTTGTCATTAAACAATATATCACATGACTAACCACAGGTCCGGGTAGTCCTGTGGATACCCGGATCCTTCTCAGTACCCACCCGACCCGAGTTACCCGCCCTAGCCCTAGTATGTGGTAATAAAACATACAACTACCATTGCACCTGTGAAAACACCACTTTGAACAGTCTTTCAGTTATATCCCAGCCTAATCTATCACAAACACCCGAAGTGTGGGATTCGACCCAATGGCCAGCTAAATCTGGCTTGCTAAGGGACACAACTCTAGAAAGTGAAAAGCATAACCACAGAATCTATGAGTGAGTGAGTTAGTTGGGTTTAACGCCGCTTTTAACAATACTCCAGTTATATCACGGCGTGTCAGCTTAATGTGGGAGGAAAGCCCGAAGTGATGCAGGTCTAAGACAATTACCACTTCGATGAAACCCACGAGCACGGGTATGGTGCTGACAAACCTAGAAACATAATTGGGGCGAACCGGGATTCGAACCCACAATCATAGGTTTCTGGCGTGCCCAAGGGATGCAACTCTGCACAGCGAATCGCGGCGCCTTAGACGACTGGGCCACCCGTGCCCCCACAGAATCTATGAAAACAGAGACTAGGTTGGTTGGTTTGTTGTTTAAAACACCGCACTCATCAATATTCCAGCTATATAACAGCGGTCTGTAAATAATCGAGTCTGGACCAGAAAATCCAGTGGTTGACATCATGAGCATCGATTCACTCAATTGGTTTCGATGACATGCATCAACCAAGTCAGCGAGCCTGACCACCCGATCCCGTCAGTCGCCTTTTACGACATAGTCGCCAAGCACATCTAGCTGGTCAAACATGTTGTCATATTGTCTGTGTGGAGCTTTATTCTACATGAAAACAATTCAGACAAATTGAGTAAAAGAATTCATTATTATGTAATGTTCTAACCAAATATGCTCAACTCTGATATTGTACAACTCCCGTGATCAGTGATATTCCAATTAATTGAAATGATTGAAAATTGATTGGAATACCAAACAGCCAACAATTGAAAACAATTGTCCACTTTTGCCAACTCTATCAACCCTGAGTCACTCTCGTTCCCTGTGAAGGCTTATTAACTACCATATTCGACGTAATAAGCGCCCCGCTCTAATAAGCGCCCACGGCGATATTTGCTAATATATTGGTTCGTGAACAATCCCTATTAGCACCCTTTCCGATTGATCAATGTACACAATACTTATTTATTCTCGTGTGTTATATGCACCCTTAATTATAGGAAATTAAATTCTGGGAAAAAATATCTGTCGTATATAAACATTTCAGGCTGTCAGCATGAACCACGAAATTTATCTTTCAACTCCGACAAAATAATATTCTAATAAGAGCCCCCTATTTCTAAGTTTTAGAGCGCCCTGGGCGCTTATTACGTCGAATACGGTACTTACTACTCAGTACTTGAAAACAAAGTGAGGTGAGGTGAAATGAGGTTTAAATTCACGTCCAAGATTATTGCACTTATATAGCGATTTGCGTGCACATGTATGTGTGTGGCTGCTTGTACTAGTCCGGACTAATGCCAATTTATAGTGCTAGCTCACTGAGATACCATGCCGCAGTTTAACATGAATACCCCACTCAGACACAGTATACTGACTCCGGGCCTTGTTTTAGCCCCTTAATGCCGAGCGCCAGACAGGGTAACAGCAAGTACCATCTTTTAACGTCTTTTGGTATGACGCTGCCGGGGATCGAACCCCAGAACTTCCGCTCCTTGGGGGGACGCTCTACCACTAGACCACGGAGGCGGTCAGAAACAAAGTGAGAAGGAGTGAGGCCAGTGCGGTTTTGTTAAAAAATAAGTGTTTATTTTTGTTACATGTGATGTGGTTTAGCTGAACTTGTCAAAACACCGAAAAACAGCAAAATGAGGTCAACCTTACTTTTGAAGATCAATCAGGAGGAATAATCCAATCATCAATCATGATTGTACAACCAATTCCCACGATTATGCTGATAAATCAGACAGTTTGCTGTCTAGTAAGCACTCACAACCCTGTAGCAAAGCCATCCATCACAATACTTGTAACGCTTAGAGAACACAGATGTTACAACGTTGTGTACAATGTCATGGTGACCACCCCGGGAAGGGGACGCTTCGTCCTTCCATGCTTCCAAGGTTCACTCCCTTGGTTGTAGCAGGACATCACATACCAGTTATACATCAGGGATGCAATCTGGCACTAGCTCACTCCCGAGTCAGTTTGTCCAAAAGGTATCCTAAGGGCTTTTTAGGGGGCGCCCATATCTGTTATCACCATTCAGCCTAGCAAATGATTCAGGGTTAAGCTTCCCTGTAAATATTGCAATGAAACACGGAAGTCTGTTCAAAAAAATATTTTGTAGAATTTTTCTGAAAATCAGCTCGTTTGTTTTTCAAAACATTTTATACTATTATCATCAGAAAACAAAATCATGTTATCATTTTCATAAAAATAGTACTAATATTATGAGAAAACAAAATCATTTTATCATTTGTATAAAAAATAGTACTACTATTATCAGAAAACAAAATCATTTTATCATTTGGATGAAAATAGTACAATTATTATCAGAAAACAAAATCATTTTATCTTTTTCATAAAAATAGTACTATTATTATGAGAAAACAAAATCATTTTATCATTTGTATAAAAAAAGTACTATTATTATCAGAAAAAAAATATCATGTTATAATTCTCATAAAAATAGTACTACTATTATCAGAAAACAAAATCATTTTATCATTTTCATAAAAATAGTACTAATATTATGAGAAAACAAAATCATTTTATCATTTGTATAAAAATAGTACTATTATTATCAGAAAACAAAATCATTTTATCATTTGCATGAAAATAGTACAATTATTATCAGAAAACAAAATCTGTTTATCATTTGCATAAAAATAGCCTTTGACATAAAGAGGGCAAAATCCACATGTGAATCTGAACAATGTCAATGTTCGTGTCAAAAAATAAATACCAGTACTGTGATTTGATATTGTGAGCAATGAACAACACAGTCGGCTAACAATGACGTGTAATCAACCAAGTCACCGAGCCTGACCACCTGATCCATGCACTCGCCGGCACTGGAGTTGTTGATTACTTCGTGATAATGGTACCCGCACCTGAGCCGAAATGTCCGATTGAAAGAAAAAGTGTCCTGAAATCCATAAGTCATCTCCGTCTTCCTTGATACTACAGTTTGTAAAATGCCACACAATGATATTGATGATACAGGTGGCTTACACAGCCATGTTCCAACCTGGGTATGGCTCGCTTCGAACAATCATCACCTGCCCACCTTGTTTCCTGGCTATTACCTTGTACATTAACACATCATCACACATACACTCACTGACAAAACAATCGAACACCATACAGGATGGTTCATATATACTACTCAAAAGAAGTTAAGGATCACCTGATTCTTTCATATTACTATAGTTAATCTCCAATGTCATGACAGATTAACTTTACCATTATTAAAGAATCGGGTGATCCTTAACTTCTTTTGAGTAGTATATGAACAATTACTCATATTCAAGAGACTGGTTCGATGCACAAACGAACATACTATTATGTTGTGTGAGCTGATGCTCATGAACGCATCACGCGATGTCATAGATCCATGACTCGAGATGCACCACTTGTCTCATACAGGATTAGCATGGAAAGTTTGGAAATCACATGCAGCATAATGGGATAAGAATAGAGACTTTGGTCACACTTGAC